TCTAAATGCATCTTTAAAACCGGCATCATTTCATGCATTAACTGAAACAGTAATTACAGATTCACAGCAGGCTAAATAAATGCATTATTCAGCCTCTTTTATTGTCTTTTGAGAGGTTGCCCTGTTTAAATTATTCATGCATATCTGACACAAACTCATACATGTGCATTGATCTTAGAGGGACCCCTCAAAAGAATGTTGAAGCACTGATCCCACTGTTTATAAATGCATGTATTGTTTAAAGTCTGCATATTATAGTGAAGGAAGAAGAGCATTTATTCTTTCTCTCTAAAGGAGTTTGGCGTTCCCTTCATGGAGACCAGTGCTAAATCAGGCCTGAATGTGGAGTTGGCCTTCACTGCTGTGGCCAAGTAAGTCACTCATTTTCAGACCGAATCTGTGCATTTTCCCCACTGAGAATCTGCAGAATGGATTTATACCTGGTAACGTGTTGTAAATGGAGCTGAGAGAACCACACTCTTACTGACAGCTGAAAGCATGAACAAATTAGCACAACTATCTAATAAAGGAACATTTGTGATGGGGATGTGATTCTAAAATCAGGACATCACACGTTCTGTATGTGGCGCTCGTATGTGCTGATTCATCAAAGACAGTTTTCAGACACATAACCTTAGCAAAAGCATAGCAACACACTAAAACACCAATGCAACTGCATGGCAACGCATTAAAAACCACTCAGAACACTTTAGCAACAGCATGGCAACACACTAAAACACCATAGCAACCACATAGCAATGCATTATAAAGCACCCAGAATACCTTAGTGACAGCATAGCAACACATTAAAAACCATGCAGAATGCCATAGGAACCGCAAAACAACACATTACAAATTACAACACACTAAAACTCCATAGCAACCGCATGGCAACACATCATAAAACAAATCTGTTGTAAAAAACACAGAGGGCTGAATTCACTAAATACATTCGAGCCACTTTTGCACACAGTATCAGCACAAATTTCTAGATGCATCCTATTCATTATTCATCTAATTTAACCAATTTATACCAGCTAAAAATTAATTAACTTTTAATGCATTTACTTTTATCTGAAGCATCTTACAATATGCATTATGTTTAATGATAATTTGTGCCTTTATTTTGTAAAGAAAACACACATTTTCAGTTTCTGTCTAAATAATCATTGTGTAGAGCTACAGTATACGAGCATTTCAATTCAGCATGCCTCTATGTAAATGATTTTATGCATCTTATTGCATCTTATTTATAAACTTAATACTGTTCGCCTGGTGCAGTTAGTGCGGGTTAGATTATGTTAGATTGGGGTTTTGCACAGTGCAAATTGCATTTTAATGTAATAATAAGTTCATAATGCATCAAATAATGTTGAACTAAATTCAAGGTGTTTTTGTTCAAATATATGAAAATATTTTAAAATAATAATATATTTGTTAAAATAGTGATTCCTGTGTAAACATGTGTTCAGTGTTAATTTTGGGGTGTGTTTGCGCAGTTAACAGATTTGCATAATTCCTTCATTGAATCCTGTGCTAAATAGCACAGACAGCATGTGCAAATAAACACAGCAATCAGCAGGCGCAGGTTGTTTGAGTTCAGAGAGGAAACTGATGTCTCCCTCCCCATCTCTCAGGGAACTGAAGCACAGGGAGATGAAGGAGCCTAACGAG